ATCTTGTAATTACCAGCTCATACCTACTTCCCCAGCCAACTTTGCTACCTACTTCTATCTCTGTGCCACATGCTTTACTTTTGTTATCCAAGATTGCTTTTGCTATTCTACATCCTTTCTGATTCCGTGGAAGTTTTAGGATTGTTTTTTCTACTTCTGTGAGAAATGATGCTGGTATTTTGATTGGGTTTCCATTAGATCTGTATGACAGTTTTGGAAGTGTAGCGTAGCCATTTCGGTTATGTTGACTCCTTCATGTCCTCCTCATTTTCCATTTTCAGAGTGTTAGTTTTCATTGTAGAGGTCTTTCACTTCCTTAGTTAGGTTAATACTTAACCGAACTGTGTTTAATATTTTTGGATGCTATTATGAACACTACTATTTTCCTAATTGCTTTATCAGTGAGTTCATTGTTAGTGTATAGAAATGCTACTGATGTGTGTTTATTTTGTATCTTGCTACACTGCTAAATTTACTTATCAATTTTAGACGTCTTTTGATACACTTTTTTTGCGTCTTGTAAAGTATTGTGGGGGGTGGAGTTATAGCTCAGGGGTACAATACCTACCTGGCAAGCATGAGGTCCTAAGCTTAATTTCAAGTATATCTCCCCCCCATAAAAAAGGTAAGGTATAAAAAAAAAAAAAAAAAAAAAAAGGTAAGGTATTGTGTCATCTGCAAATAATTATATTTTGACTTTGCCCTGTTTTAAATTTTTACTCTGTCCTTTTCTATACATAGCCCTCATATTCCTTTGTCTTGCCTGGTTGCTCTTGCTAGTGTTTCAAGGACTATATTGAACAAGAGTGGTAATAATGTTGGGTTTTTTGTTTGTTCGTTGTTGTTTTTGAGGAATCGGGGATTGAACTCAGGCCCTTGTGTTTGCCAGGGAAGCGCTTATTCCACTGAACCATCTCCCCGGCCCCCTAGGAGTGGTAATAATGGACATCCCTGACCTGTTCCTCATAGTAGAGGAAAGGCTTTCGGTTTTTCCCCATTTAATTGATGTTAGCAGTAGATCGATCATAGATAGTTTTAATATGTTGAGCTTTAAAGAAAAAACTTATACCTATTTTCTTCAGGGTTTAGAACATGAATGAATGTTGGGTTTTCTGAAGGCTTTATCTGCTTTTATTGAGATGATCTTGTTTTTTCTCTTCGCTTATGATTATGTGGTTAATTATGTTAGTGATTTGCATATGTTGATTCTCATTGCATCCCTGGAAATAAAGCCTAGTCATGGTGCATGATCTTTTTGATGGTTTGTTGCTATTTGCCAGTATCTAATTGCGGATTTTTGTGTCTCTGTGCTTTAGAGAAATTGGCCTCTAGGTTTTTTTTTTGGTTGTGTCCTTGTCTGGTTTTCTAGTGAGGATAATAATAGCTTCCAGCAATAATTTTGAAGAAGTACTCTTTCTCTCTCCATTTTATTGAAAAGTTTAAGGCATATTGGTGTCAGATCTTCCCTGAAGTCCTTGGAGAATTCAGCTATGAATCTATCAGGTCCTGGACTTTTCATAGTTGGTAATTTATTTATTAATTATTATTATTATTAATTATTCAGTTTCATTGCCTATTGTTACTTGGATTTTTAAAAGATTTTAAGTCTTCTTGGTTCCATTTTGACAATTCACATGTATCTGTGAATCTCCATTTCCTCTGAATGCCTCAGTTTTTTGGCATATATGCTTGTGAAGTAGTTGCTAATAATTTTCTGGGTTCCAGCAGTGTCTATTAAAATTTTACCTTTTTCATTTCTAATTGCATTAATTTTTTACTTTTGGGGCTGGGGAGATGACTCCGAATAAGCAGGCCATAGAATAAGTAGAGTAAGTGTTTGTCTGGCAAGTGCAAGGGCCTAAGTTCAATCCCCAGTTCCGCCACCAAAAAACAAAATGGCTTTTTTTTTTTTTTTTTTTTTTTTTGGTGAGATTACTAAGCGTTTGTCTATTTTGTTTATTCTTTCGAAAAACTACCTTTTTGATTTTAAATTCTACTGATCTTTATAATGTCCTTCCTAGTATAAGCTCTGGGTTTGGACTGTTTATTATCTATTAAGTCCATTTGTTCCAAAATTTGGTTCAACTCTGACACTTCTTTGTTGATTTTGTTTGTTTAGTTGATCTATTTGTGATAATGGGGTATTGAGATCCCCTGGATCCCGTTATAATTGTATTGATTTTCTGATCTTTATTTTTTGGTACCAGGGATCAAACTCAGGACCTTGTGCTTGCTAGGGCAGCTGCTGTGTTGCTGAGCTATATCCCCAGCCAGTTATCTAATCTTCTATTAGAATTTGTTTTGTGAAATTGAATTTACCATGCTATAATGTTATGTTTGAGGTTTTTATTTGTTTGTTAGGTGGGTTTTTGCTTTTGTGGGACTAGAGGGAGCTTTTTGTTTGTTTTTGTCATTTCCAGACAGGGCTATGCTGTTTGGGCTGGCTTTGAATTCACTTTGTAGCCTAGGCTGATCTCAAACTCACAGTGATGCAAATGCAGGGATTACAGGCATGCAACACTGTGCCTGACTTTTTCTTTTTTCCTCACAAGAATCCTACCTCAGCTTCTTGAGGGCTGTGCTGGGATTACAGTTTTGTGCCACCACACCCGGCTTTTTTTTTGAACCGGAGATCGAACTTGGAACTTTGTGCTTGCCAGACAGGTGCACTTATGCTACTACGCTATCTCCCCGGCCTTCATATGTGTTTATATTTGTTATTTCTGCCTGTTAAAGTAGTACTATTAATCAGGATGTATTGTCCACTTTTGCTTCTTTTGATTGGTTTTGACTTGACATCCACTGCGTCTGAAAATAAAATAGCTACTGCTGCTTCTTTTTAGGTTCCCATTGTGTGGAATATGGTTTTCCATCCTTTGGTTTTTAGTCTGTGAATTAGTTTTTGGGTTAAATGTGTTACTTGAATACAGCACACCATGGGATTTTGTTTCTTAATCCATTCTGCTAATCTATGTCTTTTGATTGGTAAATTGAGTCCAATTGGTAAGTTATGACTTTACAATGATAGTTATGTTGATAGATATTAACTTATTCTTATCCTGGTATTAATTTCCTGTTGCTGTTTGCTTTCTTTCTCTTCTACTTAATTGTTATCCTTAGCTGAGATATTCATTTTATTGAACTTTTTGGTGTTGTTAGTTTCATTGTCTTCCTTCAGGTATATCCTTGAAAATTTTTTGAAGTGTTGATTTCGTAATGGTAAATTTCTTTAAATTTTCTTTATTGTGGAGGTATCTTATTTTTCCATGAATTTTGAAAAATAACTTTTGAAGGATATAATAATCTTCAAAGTTGTTTTCTTTGAGAGCTTCAGCTACTTCATTCCATGCTGTTCTTACCTTCAAAGTTTGTGTTAAATCTATTATCGGATGGATTTTCTTTTATCGATGATTTATTGGTTTTCTCTAGCAGCCTTTAAGATTCTGTTCTTATGTTGTATTTCTGGTATTTTAATGATTATGCAGCATTAATTTTTTTTCTGATCATGGGTATTTGGGATTCCATATGTTTCACTTATGTGTGTAATAAATTCTTTTTCCAGGTCTAGAAAGTTTTCTGCTATTACTTGTTCAAAAAATTTTTATGCCTTTATGCTGTCTTCTGATTTTTCACTAATTCCAATTTGCTGGTCCTCTTTGACTCATCTCGGAGCTGTTGGGTCCATTTTTCATGTTCCCTTATTATTTTTAATGTTAATTGATCATTGATCTCAGCTCTCTCCTCTAGATCCAAACTGCCTTCACTTTGTTTCTGCTACCTATACTTTGAATTACATTTTAGATTTCCTAGATTTCTGTTTGGACCTTTCTTACAGATTCTCATTGTTTCCTGTGCTGGGCGTTCATGTTTTCATCTCTTTAGCTTCATTAGCTGCTTATTAGTGTCTCTTTAGGCTTGCCGATCATTTGTTTCATTGAGGTCATTATCTGATAAATTGTAGTTTCTTCAAGTTCTTCAAGTAGCTTATTGAACTGTTTTATGTCCTCCATTGGTTCTCGTTCAAATGTATCTGTTGCGTAATTTATGATTTCCTCTTCTGTAACTCTTGAGACAATTTTGGGGGAGTTGGCAGTGTTCTGAGGCATTTGGTTGCCTTGTCTGTTCCTGTTTCTCTTTTTGTTTTTGTGCTAGGGATTGCATATTATGTTGCCCAGTGCTCCATTCTTGGGAGTGCAGGCCACCATGTTTCTAATCCATGGGTAATCCAGATACTGGCATAGAGAGAAAACTGGTTGCCAACTACTACAGTGTTACCTTGGCTGTCTAATAAATAGAGCAACAACAGTGACAATCAAATTTCAACTGGATAATGACATGTTAGGAACCATTCATGAACAGCCCTTAACCAAAAAACAAAGACAACTATGATTTAAGTGAAGACAGGCCATCCTTATATTGACCTTATATAAGAGTTGAAACCACTAATTTCTGCTGGATGTAGGCAGCATCACCAGAGTACAAACATATTACTAGCCTAAATACCTTCTTCTTCAAGACTGCTTCATGTGATGATTACATCCACCAAACCTGGCCGCCCACAACAGAATATAGGACCTAAGATCTTCCTGGCCTGAGCCTGGGCCTCCCAGTAGATCCCTGTTTTACCCTTTCCAGCCCTGACTCTAAAGCTATCTCTCACCCCATCTCTGTAGTAAGAGTATCACTTCAGTCATGAAGAAATCTCTACCTGGGCATTGATCTGTTCTTAGATCAGGTCAGTTTGTTGGTTATCAAGTCTGTTTTTGCGCTGTGGAGAACACAGGCTGAGGGCAAGGTGCACAGAATACATTTAGCTTTAGGTAAAATTCTTTATTAGCTATAATTTTTTCTTTTTATTTAACCACAGATCAGTAAATACTTTCTCACAGATGTTATTTGAGAACTTTTACTTGATACTTGGAACAGAATACTTAGATGAGACCCTACATGAATATGATGAGTAGTAGATACATTTCTCATGTCCTCTACTTTCTCACCAGTTCGATCCTTTGGTACAGAAGACCGGCCAACAGATCGTCCAATACCACCTCGAGATGAAGTCTTTGAATACATTATATTCCGTGGAAGTGATATTAAAGATCTCACTGTTTGTGAGCCACCAAAACCACAGTGTTCTTTGCCTCAGGACCCAGCTATTGTTCAGGTAACTGATAGTAAATTTGTCTTGCAGTGGAGGTATAAGCTTCACATACAGGGCTAGCTAGCCTTGGCTGTCTTTCCCAATTGAATGTTCATAGAGCTTACCTTTTTGAAGTTACCTGGATACTTAGAATTATCTGTGTAATATTCTTACGGAGATTTCTTTCCCTTTGGTCATAAATTGGGACTACGTAGGGTAAGCAATAGATGAAAATCTTATTTTTAATGTTATAATGGGTAACATATATTGAGAGCTATCTGTGAGCAGTACTCTTCAAAGTACAGTCAATCTGCATATTATAAGTTACTCCTCCTAATTCATTGGAAGTTAGTGCCATAATTTTTCTCTTTTACAAATGAGGAAATTGAGATCGAGCCAGTTTGTATGGATCCAGGGCTCCAGAATCTAAGATCAGTGCTACAGAGCTTTTCAGATAATGTTTCATGTTACAATGTAGAAAGATAGTAACTAAAGTAATATTAGTAGGTAGAATGGAGAAAAATATTGAATCATATTACACATAATTTGCAGTGATAAGTAAGTGTAAGAAAAAGAATTTTAATATAGATAAGTACTTAAGCTACCTAAATACTAAGAATTAAGTATTTTATTAAATACTTAATAAAAAATTAAGTATTGTCAGAAAGAATGGTGGTATGTGGTTTTTTTTGTTTTTGTTTTTTTGTTTTGTTTTTGTTTTTTTGTTTTGCCAGCTTAGCCCACCCTGAGAACAGGGCTGGCTTGGCATGTGGATCAAGCTGAAGTCCCCTGTGCCTGCCTAAGCAGGTGCTTTAGACTGCTGAGCTATCTCACCGGCCCCAGGAAATTTTATCAAAAAATAGAAATACATGCTGCCTAATCAGTTGCAAGTTATGACTTAAAGAGGAGATCCATTACATTAAATCTTCAGTTTATCAACAAGTTCTATTCCAGAACAACATTCATGAGTACCACAGAGTAAGACTCATACATATTTGACAAAAATATACAGTGTGAATTGTTTTGCCCTTCCTAGCAGTCCCTTCCATATCACCACTGCTTTTCCTCATGCTTCTGGATATCCTGGACTCTGATTAAGCATGGTACTACTGTACACTATTGCACTACACAAAAAGTACACGGCAGCACAATTGTGACATGCCCAACACACATGGTATCTCTACAATTTGTTCATGTTTATTAATGTCCATAACATGAGGTCCATTT